TTTCATTTTATGAAATTTTCGACGTGATATTCGGATTCCTCGTATGAAAATGAGCCTAAAAAAGTTGTCTCGAGCTCGATCGCATACAACGTCCTCCCCACGCAAATCCAAGCGGCCTACACCCTTTGCTTGCACTATGAAAAATGGCAAAGCCTACTAGTTTTTTTGCTGAATACCTAGAGCCTTCATTCTTGCTGAGAAGCTCAGTGAATTTGTCTGTCGGACAGAAGTTCGGATCGTTGGCTTTGCGATCGTAGAAACGAATGAAGAGATATTCACTCATGATAGGACCGAGTGCTCCTTCAGATGGCCATGTTTGTTTCTCCATCTGCAACGGTATCAGGGATTTACCCGTAGTCACAGCGAGGTGTACTTCACGTGAACAGTTGTCCGACTGAGCATAGGCCCTGTTCATGCAACATATCACTACTTTTGCTCCACGAATGCCACTGTCGATTTTCGCGAACAATTTGTCGCCGCCACCCATCTAGCCTGTGTTCATCCAACATAAGTAGCCAGCTTCTTCCAGGTGACTCTTCAGTGTCAAAATGGTTGTCAAGTATCTTCTCTAGACCATAGGTTGCTTCGTCGGCTTTGTGTGCCATGAACCATTCGTTAAGAAGAGTCATCGTCGGATCTGCTTGCAGGGCCCAATGACGTAGTTCACTGGTCGAACAGCCGAAGCGTTTAAGCAAACGCCAGTCGTTGTTGGCTTGACGATTGAGCAGTTTGGTGACTTCACAGCCCCAGTCGCCAGGAACATAGCTCAAAGTTTTTGCATCAATCCGCTCGATTTCGCGTGCTTGCTCTTCTACTTGCTCGGTCACAACATTCAAACGACTGTCAACCATATCGACACGTGCATCGAGACCATTCACCTAGAACAAGATCAATAATGAAACAACTCAAATCAAATGAATAAGATTTATTGATGAAGAAAATGACGGCGAAAAGATTGAAGATCCTCGTAAACAGTTTATAACTCGAGAAAAATGTCATTCAAGCGCATCTCAAGATGATCAATGCATGTCCAGACAGCAGCATCATTGTTAAAATTCGTCTGGACGCTTGACGCAAGGTCCATTAGAGACGAAAAGGCCGGATTTCTAGTATTTTGCTCCGGTGAATGCACCAGGGTCAATAAGAAGATAAAATACACAGACCAATTTTATGTTCATAGTACCATTAGTATGCTGATGAATGTTTTTTTTCCAAGTGACGTTCCCTGGCCCATTCGATTTATCCGAGGGTTTCAAATGTTTTTAGTTTCATCATCAGGTACTTATGCCCTTTGTTCACTATCAGCTCTCCTCTTCTTCGCATAGTTCTCCACAGCACTGATCTAATTTTCTAGATATAACCAAAGAGAATTAATTCCAAAGATCGCTATATAGCAATCATGAGATATTCCGACTGTTATTGACAGTAACTCAGTAGACGTTTTCAAAAACATCTATCGCCTTTGAAACATCGAGGATCGCTAGAAAAAACCTGAATCATCTTCCATCGATTCGGAATAAAACGAGAAAATTCATTTGTAAGAGTTAGAGTCCCCGATCAAACCAATCTCAATTCCCAAATATCCGGTTCGTTTTGAATCTGTATCAGAAGAATAGTACAAATGCGTGAATACTAGTGGCTTAAATACACAAAGCAAGCTTGCTTTAACGTATTTTTTCTCCAGAAACGAACTTCAACGGTTCGATTCGAGCTCTAGTGCGAATCAACTAGATTGCTTAGTGAAATAAATGAAAACCAAATCGTTCTCTGGCAACTATCATACAAGCAACCTATGTGGCTTATGCAAATAGATAACTTTTCGTGACGAGACGTAAAAGCGTAGTACAATGATGATTGAATAGATTTGGTTGTGCATTGGCCACATGACCAAGTCCTTGAAAAATGAGATGCAATTCGTGCGATACATTGGTACGATCGTTGATCGAAGCAAACAAATGATCGACTTGTGATGCCGTCATGAATTCCGGATGTTCCTTGACAATAATCCAAAAGAGATTACCTAACGAGGATACATATGCAGTGTCACCGTCGAATAGAACATTAATAATATCGTCTAGTCGCGCATGAAATGGTTCAGGTCGTTTGACGTAGAGGTTCTAAGAGGCGAAATGAAAGTTGAGAAAATAAATTATCTGGTGATGATAATGCCTAACAAGATCAGATGTTTATTGTAGAAAGAAAAACAGGCTTTTTCCAAAATTTTTGTAGGTGCATTCACACAAAAAAATCAATGAATGACATTGGCCGATCAGACAAATTCTCGGTTGCAGTTAATCACTTTATTTGAGCCTGCCATTCGCTGAATACCGTTGTCGAAATGAATTTGCCATTAGTAATAGCAGAAGGTCCTAGAAGCTTTTGACGAAGAGTCTCTTCCAACATATACTTCTGTCATCAGAAGCTATATTCTGGAAGATTGAGAAGACATTTATGACAGGCGAATAATTTCAAAGAGATCATTTTGGTGAAAGATTGCATGACATTCAATTACTACCAATATCTGAACCAGGATGGTCACTTCTTTATCACCCTATGACCCTTGTACGAACAGAAACTCACTTCGAAAGCATCTCTTCACATCTCATACAGTGAATGACTGGCACCAATATTGATTCATTGTAGTCGAGTATCTGCTTGTTCGTTAAAGTCACTCTCCGAGCAGTTCAAAAAATGGGAAAGCGGCATGACGGTGTTTTCTTGCTGTAAAAACGCAAAATTTTAAACAGTTAAGAACATCGAATTTTGTCCCCTTTTTCGCTTTATTCATGCATGTTTTGTGAATACACCACGAAAAGCATCATTAAATTATCTGGTCATCTATAGAACAAACGGTTCATTGCTAGCCGTCTCAAAATCGAACAGCGATTATTTTGTTTTGTGTTCTCGCATCGACTCCTATTCTTTAGTCATAAACATCGACACGTTTGTGGGATCATCAATCTGATGGCTGCTTTTCGTTCAACAGATCTTTCTAGCATTTATTTTTGTTTCATAACTTACTTCATTTCTAACTGGAAATCATCGATCAATGCTGCAAAATCTACAGTGGCATTTTGTTTAGACAGAGAAGAATGTCTTAATCCAATTATATCTGTTTGTTTTCGATCGATGATGTCGGCGAGAAAGACTTCGACATAATTGATCGCTGCATCTGGTATTTTCATAATGATAAGACACCAGAATGCGAGCCATCATTGGAAAAAATCTTCTTCACCATCACACGCTACTGCGTGCATTTGTTTGAGATACGGTTCGTAAAGACGAGTATCAGTCTCCATCGTTAAACATGGTGCAATTTTGAACCAGAGATGCATTGTTTCGACATATTCAAAGGACAGTTGTCCATTTTCATATTTTCGCGGTCGTGAAAGTGATACAAGGAAGAATGATGCCAATTGTCGATGAAGATCATGAGTCAATGTTTTGGGTATATCAATATAGATCGCCAATCGTGATGCCATAGCCTTCGAATATCATAGAATCAAGATTTGTCATCATTCGTCTTTCTTACTTACAACAAAGAATGGATCCATCATGGGATTAATACTCTCTGCGTCCTCGTCTGATTCTTCATTATCAACTATTCTCTGCTGAAGTGCTTGAATAAATTGAATACAGATCGCATTGGTCACTTGTCGTCGATCAATCAAATTCAACATGATTATTCCCATTCGATACACATGTGTATACCAAATCTTTCTACTACTATGTTCAACAAGTCCTGACCAACGAAGAACAGCACATAGAGCTTCGTCGTGTGTTGCACGAAAAATTCCCGTAACTACTTTAGCGCGATCATAGACCAATTCGAGAATTTTTTCCAGTACATCAAGATCGCTGAAGAATGTCTTCATTTCGATCGTATCGTAGGTCGAACATAGTCGGATCAGTTCAGCAAAACGTGATGTTAAATCTTTCCATGAATAGAAATCCGACTTTTCTAATAATCTGTGTGCACATTTCGGTGCGATGATGACACGTTGATCAAGAATGACGAGAACAAAATCGAAAAAGAGCGGTGCCAATTTTTTGTTGCATTTTTTCGTATTCAATTTGTGCGTAATAGACGAAATGATTTGTTTACAAAACTCTGTTCGATTGTCGACAGTGATCAAAGGACACACGTGAATAAACATATGCAGTAGAGCATCGATATCTACGGCAGCATCGAAATGTGCGAGAAGAATTTCGTTGACAAAATTTCGAGCTTCTCCAATGTAGTTCATTAAGAGTAATCGTTTGATCGTGATCAATATTTACAATGAATTCGCCTTCAATAGATCAACATTACGCCTGTAGGATTGGACAAGGAGAGAGAGAAAATCGGATGACATTGGTGATTCAACGCATGCGATCAAATCAGCTTGAGCATCTGCTGGATTCACATAGTGATCGAAAAGAGTTGGTAGTGTGTTGACCAAAGTCGAAATAGTTTCAGACCAAATGCATGATTGATGAGACATACGAACAGCTTGCCTTTTATAAGAAAAAGTGCAAAATGATTCAAATGCAGAAGAACAAGACCCTGTTCTCATAACTATAACTTAGAATACGAACAACGGAAAGATCTGAAACTTTCATAATAAGCTATTCTCTCTAAGACCTCTCTCCATGCAAAGTTTCAAGTTGAAATTCAAAAGTCAGTTTTCGTGATGTTTCTGGGGGGAACCACGGCTCTCATCACTCTCGACCTCTACTCCACAAAAGTCGTTAAAAAAAGTGGTTACAGTTTGACCATACGATTTTCCTTGGACATCAAGTAAGTTTAGTTTTCATCTAAATACTATTAAAAATATAAAAATAAATACTAAAAAGAGTTTTCATTTTATAATGTTTTCAAAATGAAGAAGAATTAATGTTTTATTGATCAAGTTCTTTTATTTAATTTTAGAAAATTTCTAAACATTTCATGAAACTACAGAAAACTTCATTGGAATTAAAAATATTTCGTGGAATTTTGCAAGATATCAGAAAACTTCTTCAAACTTCAAAAGATTTTAAGAAAACTTTGTATAACATATGATTTATAGGTCTTTGAAAAAATATCAACTGCTGTTAGATTATCTACGAAAAACAACTTTGTATAAAAGAGCGTTTCAGCGCAAACTTTTCGAAGAAAAACGTTATTTCTATGTTTAAACCCATCTTTTTTTGTAAGTATCTATTGAGAAGTGCTTCTTTATTTAGTTTTATTCCAATAAGCAGCACAAGCAATGAGCAGTTAAAAGAATCTCAAACGATACTAATTAAAACTTCAATCGGTACGTGATCCGATCCAAATTGTTTCAGACACTCCTCCAAATCATTTATCTTGGTCGATACATCGACATTTTTCACTTGGAAGTACCCTTCCTCAATCCACATATGATCGCACTGTCTCGTTCCTCTTCCATCTTCGCTAAAATATGTATTTGGGTCTCCACTAATTGCATTTACAAATTTTATCGTTGTGTGCTTCTTGAACATTTTTTCCATTTCTTGTCTTGTAGCATTCATATCACCAAGGACAATAAACGGTCCTGCAAACCGTCTGAACACGAGCTCTTCCAATTCAGCAAACTGTTTTTCTTTTACATTAAAATCTAGGTGTACGTTCACAATCGAAAAGCGTTTCCCATCATGCGTTTCAAAATTAATAACTTGACACTTTTTGCCATTATCGAATGAAACTGGTACAATATCATATTTTCCTGCCCAAGTTTTTGAGACAAGTGTCATAACACCGGCACTACGTGCATTAACTGGTTCAGATTTCGAAGCTAGAAGGATAAATCGTATGACGCAAATTATTTTAGACATAGCTTGTCGTGCCACCTGCGATTTAAGCATTTTTCGATGCAGATTTTGGACGCTAGTTTCATTGTCAAAAACTGAGGATCGCTAGCTACTGCAGAAACAAAATTTGAGAGACAAAATACTTTCTTAGAAAAATGACCTCTATTGCACGCCTTATTGAGCCTCTTATTTTAACTTTAAACTTTTATTTTGGCGAGGGATGAGAGAGTACCGCAAAACTTTATCACATCTCATTTCAAAAAATAGCTACAAAAGGTTTGGGCAGACCGAAACTTTATCATAATAATCTAGTCTTTTCTGAAAACATGCGGCATTCTGAAAAATCAAAAACCTCAGTAAAAACCTTCGATTGATAATCTGTGCAACTGCACAGATTATCTAATGAACGTACCCAGGGGTGAGCAGCCATATCTTGGCGGAAAATGTTTTTCAAATAGGAGCCGATCTTGTTCCTGCGCTTCCTGTAGCATAACGAAGTCAGCTGAGGAGTTTTGAATTAGGTGTAGCGTATGTTCACGGCGATTTTGATAGTCGAGGAGGTTGGATGGGGTGTTTGGATAGTATTGTTTTTTAACAAAGACAGCAGCTAAGACATTGTATGTAAGAATGCGTATGTCAGTCATTTTTTTGCTTCTACACTTATGAGTTGTTGTGAAGTGAAACGTCAAAGTGAGAAAAGAAAAGAGGCACGGAGTAATAATGAATAGTGACAGAAACAAAAGAAAAGTAAACCTTGACTCATGTTATTTCACAACCTATATGCAAGCTGATGACATTGGTTTTCTGTCTCATTGCGAATAGGAGATTTGAATATGTCAGCTGTTAAAGAAACAGATCAGACTAATTAGCCAATGAATAAGTTTGGGTGTAAAGTTAAATTAGAGGTTATATTAATGATCGAAGGAAAAAAAACAAAAAGTGATAATAAATTGCGGCAACTGATTCTAATTTTGTAATGATCGTCTAACTCTATTTTCATCTACTTTTCAATCGCAAGCACTTTTTGAACAATTATTGGTCAATAGAAATTTAAGATCAGTACTTCCTCTACTTTGACATGTGGGTTATTCCATGAGGTCTCCACCACAGTTACAGTGACCACCTCCAAATCGCCTCAAACTTATAGGGTTAGTAGAGGCTTTCTCGCTGGTTATTTTTGTCTCGAGAAATTTTTCATTTCGACCTAAAACAGACCGGCAGGAGTTAATATACTGATGACACTCACTGCGTTTGTTTTTGCAAAAACTTTTTTCGTCATTTTTTGTCGTTTTGTATTTTGACCATTTTTCGGTTCCATGTTGCAATATCCGAAATTTTAATCTCAGATTCGGATAGCCCATTGAAAACTGCGTCATATCCTATATTTATGGAAAAAAAACTTTGATTCCCTATTTGCGCCTGCCCTAATCACTCTCGACCTCTACTCCACAAAAGTCGTTAAAAAAAGTGGTCACATTTTGAAATTCCCAGCTTAGTGACATATATGGATCGATAGAGCGAAAGACGCTCTATTTGATGCCCTATTTAGTTTTCTGCCCGTTTTTATTTCTACACTCCAAAATGGGTCAAAACTAGAAAATCGACCAATTCTGATAGTATTTTCAAAGAATGTTGAACACAAATTGACTTTTCTGTGTTTCATTTCGAGCTCGGAACCACAATTCGACGTCAGATTCATGTTCAACATGAAAAACTGAGTCGACTAGCATATTCTGCAGATTTTCTGAAGAATCCATATTACGATACAGACTACGATACTGGAGCGCATCATTTACACTTTTCGTTAAATATGACAGATAATTCGAATATAGCGCCAACTGCTATACTTAGAACTACAACTTTGATAATATAAATAGATAATTTTGTAGAGCTTTTCAAGGGCTACAAGATGCACTATTTAGCTTTTTTGGCTGAAATTAAGAAGAGATAACCGTATGTGACTTTTCGAATATTTCGGTATGGCGAGGGGTATCGACTCTTAATGGCTCCTACGGATCATTAATTTCAGCCAAAATGAAAAGCTAAATAGTGCATCTTGTAGCCCTTGAAAAGCTCTACAAAATTATCTATTTATATTATCAAAGTTGTAGTTCTAAGTATAGCAGTTGGC